TTTTTTTTTTTTTTTAACGGTGTTTTTTTCGGTTTTTTTTTTTTTTTTTTTTTTTTTTTTTTTTTTAACCAAAGGGATGTTTACAGGCCAACGTGAATCACTGTCTTTTATAAAGATTCCATCTTCACCTCCAGCCTCGAGGGCTGAGCAAAACCATGCTTGAAAATTCAACCAAAACAAAACTCAGATGAAACTTTGCACATATTTATATTTATATTCAGAAAGGAAACGTTTCCATAATTTATAATAAAGAGCACTATTTTTTAAGGAAAAAAAAAAAACAACAGATCTGCTTTGTTTTCTCCCCTGCACCCCCAAGGCCACTCGGGGCCCCCTCCGAGTGTGACGCACGTCCCTCCCCGGCCCCTGTGATGCCGGGATGGTGTTTACAACACCACGTAAGCGCCGGCTTCCTGGAGCCGTGCTCGGTGCCGGGGTGATCCCATCACGGTGACTCACCGCCCCGACGTGCGTAAGTGCTGCCCCACCACTCAGGTATGTCTGAGCCCCACGACGGCCGGGCCGAGCCATGGGGCACTGCAGGAGACAGGAGTTGCCCCCCGGATTTGGGCTCGTGGTGCGGTTGCGGACTGTCCCTGGACCACGGGACATGAAGAAGACAATTTGGTGGCCAAGGCTTGCCCCAAGTCCCTCCTGCCTCCCAGCTGGTCCCCAACCCAGCTTTGGGAGGGGAAGGTGGAGGCAGCGTGTGATGGGGGGAACCCCAGCCTGGTCCAGAGCAGATGCCCCAGGAAAGATACAGGGGGAGGAGGCAAGGATTTACCCCAGGGGTCTCCCCTGGCGCCTGCTCTTACCTCCCGCGGTGGCTGTGGGGGTGTGAACCAGGCACGGGAATAATCCCACAGCTCCAGCCAGAGGGGAGCGGGATGCCCAGCGGGAAACCTGTGTCTGGGGGGGCACGAGAAACACCCCACAGAGCCCCCAGCAGCGAGGAGCAGGCTGTGCCTGGGCACCCTGTGCTCCACAGCCCCCGCAGCACCCCCAGCCCCACACCGTGGGCATCCAGCCGGGCATCCTGCACCGGGGAACCCCGCTCGCTTAGGAATCGCCCCGCAGCAGAGGGATGGCGCGTGTGCCCGCTGGGGCCGCGGGCACGGCATGGTCCCAGCCACTATTTTTGGGACTATTTTGGTGCTGTTCTCCGGGTCGTGGCTCGTGGGCTGCCAGGAAGCGGCGCGGCCTGCCCGGGCACCCGCCGGAGCTATGCGAGGAATGTCCATGCGCAGGGGTGGCCGCCCGCCAGGCCCTGCCGAGGCACATCCCCGACCCACGTCAGGGCTCCCGGCAGCACCGGTGGCTCCCGGCCCCACGCCAGGGAACGTGGGGTGGGGGGGAAGAAGCAGGGGGGGCAGCACCATGGGGCACAGCAGCCCCCAGTCAGCCGGGAGCATCACCCCCACGATGCTCACAGCATCTGGGGAGGGACCTGGAGCCTCACAGCTCTGGGGAGGAGCAAGGCAGAGCAGGGGATGGTGAAGTGGGGATCTGGGGGGGGCTGAGCACCCCCAAACCCCCGGCAGAATGAGGGGAAGGTGTCCTCTGGGGAAAGCGGGTGGGCTCCCTGCAGCGTCCATGCCGGACCCCAGCCCCAGGGAACAATCCTGGCTTTGCCCCTTCCCAGAAGGACCCCGGGTGCCCGTGTCACCGTTCGGGGGCCTCTCCCCTCCCGCTGGGGCCGGGGCAGTGCCGCAACCGGCTGCTGAGTCGAGAGTCCGGGAAGCTCGGCCGGCCCCACGGGTTTCTTGGAATAAACCCAACCTCGCGGCAGCAGCGGTGACGCGGCGGCCGACGGGCAAATCCCTGCCCAAGGTTTCACAAACCTCTCGCCTTCTCCAGAAAAGCCGAGCGGACTTGGCCCCGCGTTTCGTAAGCGGCTGATCGAGCGTGTCATGGGCAACCAGTTCCCCTCTGCCCCGCGGCCGGGGCAGGCTGAGCTCATCCCCACGGAGGCTTCCTGGACGGGGAAAGCATTCTCGGCCATGATTACACCCTGTCCCTCCGTGGTGGTGCCGGGAGCCGGATGGGAAATGGGGCAGGGGCCAGGAGTGGGGCTGGGACACCACGGTGCTGTGGGTTCCCCCACCCCATGTCTCCCGGGGCTGGGCACCAGCTGGGCACAGCATGGCTGCCCACTGAGCAGGGCACAGCCCCCCTTCTCCCTGAGGACTTGGCATCCATCTCCCTGGCCAGGAGCACTTGGGTGATCGGCTGGTGTCCCCAGAGAGGGACTCGGGGCAGCCTGAGGACCAGCTGGCAGTGAGTGCGGAGGCAGCCACAGCGAGCCAAGCTGGGCAACCCCACAACCAAGGAGGGTGCCCGGTCTCCTCGCCGTGCTGCATCAGCCCTGGGATGGACCGGGCAGCGGCACCAGCACCCTGTCAGGCAGCCCTGTCCTTCCCTGTGCTGGAGGCTGAAGGTGCCCAGGGGCTTTCTTCTGTGCTGGGGCTGAGCTGGGACCAGCAGGGATGGGATGGGATGGGATGGGATGGGACAGGTTGTCCAGCAACTCCCAGATGGTGGGGAGCCTTCTGGCTCACACACCTCTCCAGGCAGCTTGGGAGCCACAAGCTAAGAACCAGCAGAACTCACTGCAGCTGTAGACACAGGCTCCACTGCCTCCTCCACACTGTGACGGTGACCGTGTGGAGCAGGGCGAGAGCGAGCAGGGCCACACCAGCACCCGCTGAGGTGCCGGGGCGCAGGAGGGAGGTTGGGCAGGGAGAGACAGCTGCCTCCTGCCCCTGGAACCCCCCGCTCTGTCCCAACCTGCCCCCCCCAAGAAGGGCACGGGGCAGCTGGCGACGCTTCCCACCACGCCGGCAGCTCATTACTGGCATGAGAAGGAAGTGTCTGCCGGGATGGCGAAGCTGAACCCTGCAGGGTCAGGGGGTGCAGGAAACCTGCTGGGGTGCATACCAGCATCTGCAGACCCAAAAACAGGAAACAACTGCAGCCCGTGATTGCCGCAGGCCAGCAGCCCCCGGCGGGGCAGGCAGCACCGCAGCTGGGGGGGGGGCTCAGCTGGGCACCATGGCTCTGCTGGGTGTACCCCAGCCACATGGTGAAGCCCAGCAGGGCACAGCCTTCTGCCATCCCTGGGGGAGCAGGACAGACCCATGGGGGCACCCCAAACCCGTGCTGGGACCCCCAGCCTGACTGCGCCGCAGGTGTGCGGAGAGCAGCCCCGTCCCCTCGGGGGAGCAGCGGCTGTGCCAGGAGGAGACCTTCCTGCTTGGACCCCTCTTGTCCCACCTGGGCCACGCTGGCTCCATCCTGAGCCACAAAGGGCACAGGGCAGCCATGGGGCTGGGCACAGGGCAGCCATGGGGCTGGGCACGACCCGCAGCCCCCCAGCAGGAGGGAGATGGTGCCGCATGGGGCTCCTTAGGGGTGTCCCCCTGGGCTGGCGGGGTCATCATCACCCAGGGGGCTGGTTGCTCTCCTGTCCTTGCACCCAGGACTCAGTGGTCACCCCAAGGAAGGTGGGCGGCACCCGGGGTGGCAGAGGCAGGCAGGGATCTCGCCATCAACGCCCCGGCCTCGCGGCACACCCCTCGCGCACTTCCTCCTGCCACGGCTCCGCAGAGCCAGGACCTTCCCACATCCCCCGCCGCGTTTCCCAGTAGGATGCAGGAAAGGGGTGTGCAGCAGCAGCCGGGGACTTACTGTAAATGGCACCACCTGCTCCTTACATGGCAATTCCTCTGCAGGCCAGGGCCAGGGGGACGGTTGGGAACAGGGACTGTGACATCTACTCCCCAGCAAGCTGCCGGGAAGCATGAGCTCCTGCTGTGCGGCACAGCCCCGGGGACGGCGTGGGAGCCACTGGTCCCACAGCATCCCCCCTGGTCCCACAGCATCCCCCCCCCTTCCCCATCTGCCCCTCTGCCCCCGGGGAAGGCACACACAGCATGGTCCCGCAGTGCGGCATGAGATCCCTGGCCATCTCAGGGGCTCGGCCAGTGGTCACCCGTCCCATCGCTGGCACAGAGGAGGTAGAGCCTCAGTGGCCAGGGCTGTCCCGAGCCCCTTTGCCACGTGCCTGGCTTGGGGGAGAGCTGCCAGCAGGCAGGGAGGGCGAGGTGGCACGGGACCCCCGTGCCCTGGCCAGGGTGTATTTCAGGATGCTGAGGAGTCTGGAGACATGTGTACATCCCCATGGAAACCCCTCTCTGTTGCTGCTTCTCCAGCCAGACCCGCCGTCAGCGCGGAGGGAGCCAGCAGCTGTGGATTCCTCACTCCTTCCATCAGCGGCTCTGGGGGCTGCGCTGCCCCGGTCCCCCCCCACCCGGTGCCACATCCACCAGCTCACCCTTCCCCTCACCCACCGGGGGCTGGAGGTCCTGCTGCCCCACCAGCCACCACCTCCCCGGGCTTTGAGAGATGCAGACCCTTCACCCACCCCTTCACCAGCCTCTCCCACTGCCCCCCAGCCCCTGCCCACCCCAGTGCCCACCGGGGGGCTCGGTCCTGCACCCTGTGACCACCAGCCGTGGCATGGGGCAGGGCTCTCGCTGCCCACGCGGACACGGATGTTCAGACCCCCTCCAGAACGTTTCCACAGCCCGGGAGGAAGTTTTCATCCCGGCAGCGGCAGCTGGAGCCCGAATAAAGTCTTGACATTTCAGAGGAAGGTTTCAAACAAAGCCGCGTTGCTGTGGCAATGGCAGCCGCAGGCCCCCCCCTTCCCGCCCCGTCCCGTGGCTGGGGACACGGCCAAGGCGGGGGGAGCAGCAGCCCAGCACCGGCCATGCCGGGGCTCTGGGGCAGGGGACGGCGGTGGGACACGTCCTGCAGCCCCAACCCCTGAGCTGGAGACTGAGAGTCCCGCTACCACGTGCCATCTGCACATGGG